ATCCCCATCCCATCACCACCCGTGGGGCCCATGGTGTCCCCATCCCCATCCCACAACCACCCGTGGGGCCCATGGTGTCCCCATCCCCATCCCATCACCACCCGTGGGGCCCATGGTGTCCCCATCCCATGTCCCCATGGTGTCCCCATCCCATGTCCCCCCATGGTGTCCCCATCCCATCACCACCCATGGGGGCCATGCTGTCCCCATCCCATCACCACCTGTGGGGCCCATGGTGTCCCCATCCCATCACCACCCGTGGGGCCCATGGTGTCCCCATCTCCATCCCACAACCACCCGTGGGGCCCATGGTGTCCCCATCCCATAACCACCCGTGGGGCCCATGCTGTCCCCATCTCCATCCCACAACCACCTGTGGGGCCCATGGTGTCCCCATCCCATCACCACCAGTGGGGCCCCATGGCCTCACCCATGATGTCCCTACCCCATAACCCCCAATGGGGCCCTGTGGCCTCACCCCATGGCATCGCCATCCCCACCCCATAACCACCAATGGGACCCCATGGCCTCACCCCATGGTGTCCCCATCCCCATCCCACCCCATCACCACCACCAATGGCTTTACCCCATTGTGTCCCCACCCCATAACCCCCAGTGGGGCCCCATGGCCTCACCCCATCCCCACCCATGGGGCTCCATGGATTCACCCCATGGTGTCCCCATCCCACCCCATCACCACCACCAATGGCCTCACCCCATGGTGTCCCCCCTCCATAACCCTCACCCCGCGCTGCCCCCCCGTGCCCCACAGCACCTGCGGGTGGGCTGGGAGCAGCTCCTCACCACCATCGCCCGCACCATCAACGAGCTGGAGAACCAGATCCTGACCCGCGACGCCAAAGGCATCAGCCAGGAGCAGCTCCAGGAGTTCCGCGCCTCCTTCAACCACTTCGACAAGGTACCGGCGCCACCGGGGACCACTGGGGGCCATTGGGGGCCCTTGAGTCCCATCGGGTCCCATCAGGTCCCGTTGGAGTCATTGAGTCCCATCGGGTCCCATCAGGTCCCATTGGGGCCCTTGAGTCCCATCGGGTCCCATCAGGTCCCATTGGGGTCATTGAGTCCCATCGGGTCCAATCAGGTCCCATTGGGGTCATTGAGTCCCATCGGGTCCCATCATTTCCCATTGGGGGCCCTTGAGTCCCATCAGGTCCCATTGGGGGCCCTTGAGTCCCATCGGGTCCCATCAGGTCCCATTGGGGCCCATTGGGTGCCATTGAGTCCCATTGGGGGCCATTGGGGTCATTGAGTCCCGTTGGGTCCCATCAGGTCCCATTGGGGCCCACTGGGTGCCATTGAGTCCCATTGGGGGCCATTGGGGTCATTGAGTCCCATCGGGTCCCATCAGGTCCCATTGGGGCCCATTGGGTGCCATTGAGACCCATTGGGGGCCATTGGGATCATTGAGTCCCATCGGGTCCCATCAGGTCCCATTGGGGGCCCTTGAGTCCCATCGGGTCCCATCAGGTCCCATTGGGGCCCATTGGGTGCCATTGAGTCCCATTGGGTCCCATTGGGGTCCTTGAGTCCCATCGGGTCCCATCAGGTCCCATTGGGGCCCTTGAGTCCCATCGGGTCCCATCAGGTCCCATTGGGGTCATTGAGTCCCATCGGGTCCCATCAGGTCCCATTGGGGTCATTGAGTCCCATCGGGTCCCATCAGGTCCCATTGGGGTCATTGAGTCCCATCAGGTCCCATCAGGTCCCATTGGGGGCCCTTGAGTCCCATCAGGTCCCATTGGGGGCCCTTGAGTCCCATCGGGTCCCATCAGGTCCCATTGGGGCCCATTGAGGTGCCATTGAGTCCCATTGGGAGCCATTGGGGTCATTGAGTCCCATCGGGTCCCATCAGGTCCCATTGGGGCCCATTGGGTGCCATTGAGTCCCATTGGGGGCCATTGGGGTCATTGAGTCCCATCGGGTCCCATCAGGTCCCATTGGGGTCATTGAGTCCCATCGGGTCCCATCAGGTCGCATTGGGGTCATTGGGTACCATTGAGACCCACTGGGGGCCATTGGGGTCATTGAGTCCCGTTGGGTCCCATCAGGTCCCATTGGGGCCCATTGGGTACCATTGAGACCCATTGGGTGCCATTGAGACCCATTGGGGGCCATCGGGTGCCATTGGGGTCATTGAGTCCCATTGGGTCCCACCAGGTCCCATTGGGGGCCATTGGGTGCCATTGGGGTCATTGAGTCCCATTGGGTCCCACCAGGTCCCATTGGGGGCCATTGGGTGCCATTGGGGTCATTGAGTCCCATTGGGTTCTACCAGGTTCCATTGGGTCCCATCCGGTGCCATTGGGGCGCACTGGGGGCCATTGGGGGCCATTGGTGTCATTGAGTCCCATCGGGTCCCATCAGGTCCCATTGGGGCCCATTGGGTGCCATTGAGTCCCATTGGGGGCCATTGGGGTCATTGAGTCCCATTGGGTGCCATTGGGCCCATTGGGTGCCATTGGGTCCCACCAGATCCCATTGAGCCCCACTGGGTCCTATCAGGTGCCATTGGGGCGCACTGGGGGCCATTGGGGGCCATTAAGTCCCATCAGGGGCCATTGGGCCCATTGGGTCCCATCAGATCCCACCAGATCCAATCAGATCCCATCCAGGTCCCACCAGATCCAACCAGATCCCAACAGATCCAACCAGATCCCATCCAGGTCCCCCCAGAGCCAATCAGATCCCCCCAGAGCCAATCAGATCCCATGCAGGTCCCACCAGATCCAATCAGATCCCAACAGATCCAATCAGGTCCCACCCAGGTCCCAACAGATCCAATCAGATCCCATCCAGGTCCCACCAGATCCAATCAGGTCCCAACAGATCCAATCAGATCCCATCCAGGTCCCACCAGATCCAATCAGATCCCGCCAGATCCAATCAGATCCCATCCAGGTTCCCTCAGATCCCATCCAGGTCCCACTAGAGCCAATCAGATCCCCCCAGAGCCAATCAGATCCCACCAGATCCAACCAGGTCCCACCAGATCCAATCAGATCCCATGCAGGTCCCACCAGATCCAATCAGATCCTGCCAGAGCCAATCAGATCCCCCCAGCTCCCATTGGTGACACCTTCTCGTGGGGCAGGACCACGGCGGTGCCCTGGGGCCGGAGGAGTTCAAGGCCTGCTTGATCAGCCTGGGCTACGACGTGGAGAACGACCGGCAGGTACCCGGCCTTCATCCTCATCCTCATCCTCATCCCATGTCCTTCCTCCCCATCCCGGCTCCTTCATCCTCATCCTCATCCTCATCCCATGTCCTTCCTCCCCATCCCGGCTCCTTCATCCTCATCCTCATACCATGTCCTTCCTCCCCATCCCGGCTCCTTCATCCTCATCTTTATCCCATGTCCTTCCTCCCCATCCCGGCTCCTTCATCCTCATCCTCATCCTCATCCTTATCCCATGTCCTTCCTCCCCATCCCGGCTCCTTCATCCTCATCCCGGCTCCTTCATCCTCATCCCGGCTCCTTCATCCTCATCCTTATCCCATGTCCTTCCTCTCCATCCCGTGGTCTCCATCCCAATCCCGGCTCCTTCATCCTCATCCTTATCCCATGTCCTTCCTCCCCATCCCGGCTCCTTCATCCTCATCCTCATCCCATGTCCTTCCTCCCCATCCCGGCTCCTTCATCCTCATCCTCATCCCATGTCCCTGGGGCCGGAGGAGTCCTCATCCTCATCCCTGTCCTTCCTCCCCATCCCGGTTCCTTCATCCTCATCCTCATCCTCATCCTCATCCCATGTCCTTCCTCCCCATCCCGGCTCCTTCATCCTCATCCTTATCCCATGTCCTTCCTCCCCATCCCGGCTCCTTCATCCTCATCCTCATCCTCATCCCATGTCCTTCCTCCCCATCCCGGTTCCTTCATCCTCATCCTCATCCTCATCCCATGTCCTTCCTCCCCATCCCGGCTCCTTCATCCTCATCCCAGCTCCTTCATCCTCATCCTTATCCCATGTCCTTCCTCTCCATCCCGTGGTCTCCATCCCAATCCCATGTCCTTCCTCTCCATCCTGTGGTCTTCCTCCTCATCCCATGCCCTTCTTCTCCATCCCATGGTCTCCATCATCATCCCATGGTCTTCCACGCCATTGTCCTTCCTCGATCCCATGGTCTTCCTCTCCATCCCATGGTCTTCCTCTCCATCCCATGCCCTTCCTCTCCATCCCCATCCCATGGTCTCCATCCCAATCCCATGTCCTTCCTCTGCATCCCATGGTCTCCATCATCATCCAATGTCTTTCCTCTCCATCCCATGTCCTTCCTCTCCATCTCATGGTCTCCATCATCATCCCATGTCCTTCCTCTCCATCCCCATCCCATGCCCTTCCTCTCCATCCCATTCTCTTCCTCTCCATCCCAATCCCATGTCCTTTCTCTCCATCCCATTGTCTTCCTCTCCATCCCAATCCCATTCTCTTCCTCTCCATCCCAATCCCATTGTCTTCCTCTCCATCCCAATCCCATTCTCTTCCTCTCCATCCCCATCCCATGCCCTTCCTCTCCATCCCCATCCCATTGTCTTCCTCTCCATCCCCATCCCATTGTCTTCCTCTCCATCCCCATCCCATGCTCTCCATCCCAATCCCATTGTCTTCCTCTCCATCCCCATCCCATTGTCTTCCTCTCCATCCCCATCCCATTGTCTTCCTCTCCATCCCCATCCCATTGTCTTCCTCTCCATCCCCATCCCATTGTCTTCCTCTCCATCCCCATCCCATTGTCTTCCTCTCCATCCCCATCCCATTGTCTTCCTCTCCATCCCCATCCCATTGTCTTCCTCTCCATCCCCATCCCATGCCCTTCCTCTCCATCCCATTGTCTTCCTCTCCATCCCCATCCCATTGTCTTCCTCTCCATCCCAATCCCATTGTCTTCCTCTCCATCCCCATCCCATTGTCTTCCTCTCCATCCCCATCCCATTGTCTTCCTCTCCATCCCCATCCCATTGTCTTCCTCTCCATCCCCAT